AAATTTGAAATTATTGTTTTTTTTCATATTATACTTTATTTTTATATTGTTTAAATCAAATTCTAAATAATTCTAATATAAATTTTAATTTCTAGGTATTAAGAAAGTTAAGTATTCTCTTTTATTTATCTTTTTAGCTAATCTTTTATATTTCTTAATATGCTAGAGTTTTTCAAATTAAAAAGCTTGAAAGGAGATCTTCATTAGAGCAGACTTAAGATATTATCACAAATGAAAAATTAGTTATAAATTCATTACTATTAAGATCTATTATAATATTTGTAATGTAAGATTTTGGCTTTTATTATAGCCTACATAAGACAAATAAGAATCTGTAGATGTAAATATATATTTTTCTTTTAAATATATCTAATAGATGCAATTGAAATAATATTTGCATTTTTTAAGCTGTTAATAATAGAATATTTATAATTATTAAAAGAAATAAGAATTGCTATTGAAAGAGATAGTAATCCTTAATCTTTTTCAAATAAAAAATCCTGAATAGTTTTCATTAAACTATTTACTAATTTAGCTTTTATTTATAAGTTTGCTATTAGTATAACACGTACATCTCTTATAAGTAATAATTATATTACAAGACTATATATAACATCTGAGTCAACATTCTTAGTTTTGTTATCACTTATAATATAACGAGAATTTTGACAATAGGAACATTTAAAAATCTAAGTTAGTCTATATTAATAATATTAATATTAAACTATTTTATTAGAATGAACAAAGTGGTTAAGAAACTTTTATACTTTGATTTACTTAGTTTTCCTTTAAATCTTATAACAAGAGTTTTTTAATCATTTAATGTAAAATTTTCATTATATAATTATAAGAGAAGATTTCTAAAATTCTGTTGTTCTTTATTATTTCTAGATTAATGTTAAATAATATTAAGTTTATATACTTTTTTGTATTGTTCATATGCTGCAAAATTATTATTAGATAGTGAATTTTGTAAAATATTAATATATATATAATGATTAAATACAAACAGAAGCTGATCAAAATCTTCAAATAAGATAACTGAAAAATTTGCTAGAGTTGCATATTAATCAAACAAAAAATTTAATGACTGATCATATTTTTCTTATTGATTATAATATAAGTTACATTTTATAATCTATTCTATAGTTACTTCAATCATTTACTATTTATGTTAAAATTCTTATTAGTAATTATTAGAATAGAAAATGCAGAATAAATCATAATCCTATTAATGTTAAAAGTTGTAATACTAGTTAATGCAAGCATAATTACAAGTAATTTTGATTTAATTTCTATCATCTTATAAAGTCTATCTCAGATTGTATTAATGAGATAAGTTTTTTCAATTTCTGCAGTCACTATTATAATAATTCTTATTGGTTTAACTTAATAGCTATTAATTATATCATTATAATGAGATTAAAAATAATCTTTTACTTCTCATTTAATGTCTGACAATCTAAAATATCTAATTTATTTTTTTTATCCTCTTACTTATTAATAAAAACTTTATTTATAAAGATATTAGCTTTCATAAGATCTGCATTAAAGTATCTTTATTAATCTAATTATAGTTATAATCTATATTATATGATTTTAAGTCAGATAAATAATTAATTATTGAATTTTAAACTTATTTTTGCTAAAAATATCTAATCAGATCATAATTTGTCTCTATTATCATTTTTGAATAGTTCTTCATTCTCTTTATTAATAGATTTGTCAGTTTCTTTATTTACAGATTATCTAAATAGATCAATTGTATTAGCATTTATCTTTTTAATATAGAGCTATTTATATAATAGTTCTATTTTTTATCAATTACTAAAAATTTCAATACTTAACATAAAGAAAAAAATTTATACAGTAAAATTCTTTTCATTAAGAACTTTTGAATAAAAGTGATAAGTGTGAAAAGTTATATACTATGTTTTTTTCTTTATATTTTTTTTAATAATCTTTTGCAAATTTATACATTAAATAAGCTAAAATAATATAAAATTTTTAAATTGAGCAGATCAATTATTTTTTCATTTGTAATACAAACAAATTTCCTACAAATCTCTTTAAATTTAAATTTTTAAATAATAAATATATTAAATATAGCATATATTATTAAAATATAAAACTATAATCATTTATTATAATGCAACTAAATTTAGCTATAAAATTTATTGTATTTAAATTTTTATACAAGCTAATCATTTATACCAAAATAACTTGTAAACAAATTTGTCTGTAAATTTTTTAAATCAAAATATTTGTAAATAAATTTAAATTTTTTATATGAATTGTAAAAATATGTAATTATAAAAATATAGAAATAAAAAAGAATACAATTTATATAGTGATTTACAAAATTGCAAGCAAATTTGCTTGTAAAATTTTGTTTTTACTAATTTTTTATATTTGAATCTGATTTATCAACAAATTTTTTGAATATTAATCATTTGAATCTTATAAAAATTTTTTTTTAGTTAATATATCAGTAATACAAATTTCAGATTTATATTATATAATACAAAAATAATTAAAAAACTTGAAAAATATTCTAAAAGCAGGCATTAATTACAGACTTTTTTAATATTTAGTTAATTTTAAATAGATTTATATATTAATTGAATATAATTAAATAATAAATAATTTTGAATAAATTTTTTAATAAATTTTATTATTGTTTAATTCTTATATTATAAATTTATTATTACAACTATTAATAAAATAACTCTATATAATCATTTTATATGATTTTTAATATAAAATTAATTAAATAGAAGTTATTTTTTTAATAGTCATACCTCTAGACAATTATCAGTTTTATGAAACTGATTAGGCAACTATATGGAGATCTGACTGTATTTAGATTATTTTCTAGATTATAGAATGGAAATAATCATATAATAAAATAACTCTTATGAATACTATAATCTAATCTAAGTTATATACCATTATATAATATAATTATATTATATAGTAGTATACTACTATATAAGTAATATTAGTATTTAATCATTTAATTAAAGATTAATTATTAACTTTTTAATTATTTGAATAATTAAATAGCCAAAAATTTTTACATATTTAATCTTAATCAAATAAATAGTAAGAAAAATCTTTTAATTATGATTAAATGCTAATGTTATATATAGAAAATAATATTTAAACCTATAATAATTATTAATATTTAATTATTAATAAATATAATAATTAGTAAATTAAATATAGATCAAATAAATTGAAATAATTTAGCAATATATTTACACAATTTTTTTTTAAAATTATATAAATTATATTTTATTACTTAAGCAAATTATGCTATTGAATATAAATTTTTTTTTTTCACAAACGTTATTAGATAATGATTATTAAACTTAAAAAATCATTTAATATTAATAATTTTTTTTTTTTAATTGTAATAAATTATAATCAAAGTTTACACTCTTCCTTAATTACTTTATAACTAGAAAATAGTGCAAGGATGATGATTTTTGCAATTGTGTTATTTGTGATACAATTTTATCAATTTTGTACATTTATTTATTTTTTTTTAACATTCACTTTTATCTTGAATTTTACATAAATGCATAGAATATTTATAATCCTTCACATTTACCAATTTTTATACAAAACTATTTCTATTTCCAATACACGTCTATTTTTTTTAATAAAAGGATGTTTACTATATACCATTCTAATGCTCGAACCAAAAAAGGTACCTTAACAGAATTATCTTCATTATATTGTATAAGTTCTTGCATTTATTTATTTATTTATTTTAATTATTTCAAATGTTGCAAAGTTTTACGCGTTATTATTTCGATACTAAATATTTATTCGGAGTAAATTTTTTTAAAAAAAAAAAAAAATTTTTCGGAGTATAAAATTCCGTTTGCTTAATTTTAGGTTTTTACAACAAATCCTATCAGTACGTCTTTTTTTAGTAAGCTTATAAACCGGCCTATTAAAATCTGTGTCGCGAATGGTACAGACACGCGTTTTACAAAGCGAATAATATATCATAAACCACCCTATATATTTATATCCATAAAAGGCAATTCCCGCAAAATTCTCACCCGAGCTTTAAATATCCGAATTTTAAAAACTGGTCAAATGTAAATTTTATAGAAGAGAATAATTCATTTTTTTTTATGTATAAAAATAAAGAAAAATTTCAAGATTACATCTAAAATATTATCATTCTAAATCTGTATTGCCAGCAAGTTTTCTAGCTTCTTCAAGTGCATTAATCAAACTATCATTGGTTGGTTCAAATTCCAATCCAATCTCAAAAGCATGTACAGCTTCTTCATACCTTTTCAAACCCATCAAAGCTTTGCCTTTTCTAAAATAACCTTTAGAAAAATCTGGTTTAATCTTAATACACCATTCAGCATCAGCATAAGCATTAACCCATTGTTCTAAACTAATATAAGCAGCACTTCTATTACTCAGACAGACTGAAACTTCTTGTTCAGTTAACTCATGTGGTTCCCAAAACTGTCTTTGAAATGCCATATCAATGGCTAAACCATATAACTTTATAGCATCATTATAATTTTGTGTTTTAAAATGGTTATTCCCATCTTCTTTCAATTTAACGATTTGTTTTGAAAGGTTTTGATTAATATGATTTGGTGGTGGAATTTCACCGTTTATTGATCGTAAATTTTTATGTAAGGTGTTTAATTGTTTGAAATCATATTTACAATCTTTACACGTTTCGAGATGGTGCTGGCGACAATAAACATTGTCTCCATCAACAACTAAATTTAATATATTATGACTCATTTTAATAGAGAAAAGGTGTAATATGAATACAAAATACAATGAAGTATTGTCAGGACTTTGACAAGATCTGCTGCTGTATAAAAAGAAGGAAGGAAAAAAAAGTTATATACGGAACGTTACTTGAGTATGCAGATCACATGACCGCAGAATTCCCAATCAGCTTTTTTGTAGCTCGTAACACAATCTAATTTATTTACGACGAATTATATTTATTGATCTACATTACGGAAATCCTCAATTAACCGATTTGTTGCTTTAATACTGCCAATCACACAACCAACCAACCCTACGAATATTACGAATGCGTTCCATGTCAACTTCAGCAACGACATCCTCTCCCAGCCAAATAGTTTTAGGTAAAATAACACGGGTAATACAAATACGAGAAGACAATTTGCCAATGCGCCTAATAAAGACATGATATCATCGAAGAAAGGTATGGTTATAGCGATTCCAACGGTTATGATAATCAAGAGTGTGCGATATGCGGCGCGTAATAAAAATTCAACTACTCTGGAGTGATCGCGTGTGATGTATAAGTGATTCTCTGTCTCAATTGCAAAAGATGTCATAAGTATAGGTATTGTAAGAAGCACGTGAATTGTAATGAATAGGGACGCAAATGTTAACAGCAATCCTAAGATGATTAGAAAGTATTAGCTTATATTTTGAAGTTTCCAATTTTGCAAGAAGTAAATATTTTCTTTTTTACCTTCAGGTAAAACCTCTAAAATAGGATTTTTTGTTTTATCTCCGTAGACCAAATATCCTGAGAATGCAACAAGAGAATACATGACGGCACATGTACACATAGCTGCTGTAATAACTCTATTCCAATGGCGTGGCTTTCGCATACTTCTTTCAATGTGCGGGAAAACGTTATTACCTCCATAGGAGAATGTAATTGTAGCAAGAGCAATTGGAAATTCGGATAAGTCAAATATCTTGTGAGAAGGTGGGGTTGGAGCACTGCGCATATTTGACCAATCCATAAAGGAAAGTACCACGATTGCGATAACACAAAACAATGTGGAGAATGTGCCAAAAATGCTAACAATATTTAAAGATAATTAATATCTTCTAAATGAAAAATTGTTTTTCTTATGTCAGAATTCTTTACCTTAATATCACGACTTCTTTTAATGTTTTTGTGAAAATGAATGGAAATCCAATCAAAGTAGCACAAATACACGTCCAAACTGTAATTCCCCAATCGGTTTCAAAATAATACTGCGCCAATTCATTAAAATTCTCTGCAGCGAGGATGAAATATAATACGCTCACACCAATAAGAATTATATGATGAAAAATTTCAACTAAATATTTTCCAAAAGTTCCAAAAGCATGTTGTCCTATCTCGCCATAAGATGACAGTCGTGATTTACTAAATAAAATTTATGAAAAGAAAACGGTTGGTGAGTAATTGACAATTTTTTGAAATATCAATATAAATTACATACCCATTATAATAAAGACATTTGATGGTTATGATACTAGTGTACAGAGTTATTATCATTGACATTACAATAAGTCCTAAAGCGAGCCAGCCGCCTTTGTTAAGAGCATCGGGTAAACCCAAAACCCCCGTTCCTGCTACCAAACAACTAAAAAGGATTAAAGAATTAGAAAATCTCAATTCGATATCAATAACATTTAATTTTCAAATATAACTCACGTGACATTTATATATGCACCAAAACTTGACCCTTCAGCATTTCGTCTGTCAGTATTTTGCAAGTCATTAATAAGACGTTCTTCGTCACCTATTAATGGAGCTTCCGAGTCTAAAGAAGACCTATTTGAATGAGTTGAAGTTTCATCGCTGGTAAACGAGTCATGTTCGTCAGACATAATATAATTTTTATTTTTCAAATTGGAATTTTTTTTTTTTTTTCGTGTAGGAAAAATTTTTTTTTTAAAAACAAGTGGAAGGAAAAAATGAAAGTTTGAATAATTGTTTATAAAAAAATAAATGATGAACAATGGTATTTAATACAATATGTTCAAAACTAGTGCATAATACGATTATCAAAGAAAAAAAAAATATCAGCAGAATTTTGCATTCGTCATTTTTTTATTTATGCAATTTGATCGTGATTTTTTTTTCACATAACAATGGATTTTACACAAAGAAATCGGATCGTTTTGAAAAACTCGACTTAAAATTTTTGACTAATTAAGGTTGATATGTTTTACTCATTGTTAAAAAGTTTGGATCTCGATGATACAAACCTTATGTAAAATATCAAACCTTGATTGGTACGCAGATCCTCAACATATAAATCAACAACTCTTTTTAGGATAATTAACAACCCTATTTATATTTACAAATAATACTTTTACTAATTATAAAATTTTATTTTTTAATAAATATCGTATTTTATTCTTTATTAAAATATATATTTTTAAATTTACTAACAGTTAATAAATTTATTTATTAAAAGTAATAAAACGTAATATAAACTATTATTTAAAAATTTATCTATTTATAAATATAAAATATATCATATACAAAAATCCAAATTATTGGTGATGGAACTAACTCAATTAACTCAATAATATTTCAAGGATTTATATCATGTGATTAGTAATAGACCAATGAAAAATGAGATATTTTTGTGTATCGTTTTATAATTTAAAAAAGTCAAAAATGATTTTGCATAGAAATCAGCTGAAAATTGGGTTAAAGATATTAAAGATCTAACAAAATAAATCAAAATGATAAAGTCATTAATTATATCTCATCTGGTTAATTATACTTGATGGCGATCCAATTATTTGGCGGGTCAGAATCTCAAATGACAGTGGCTACCCATTTCAACGTATCAACTTTATTTATCATGCAAAAATACAAATCAAAATTTTAACACGAGGAATATGAAAATAAGAACTCGTAATATTATTATATCCTGAAGCTAAAGTAATCGGTAATTTGTGAACAACTCCAATAGATTCAATTAAAAGTAATAGTAATGCTCTAAGAACATGTTTTATAGATTTATCAATCTCAACCTAGATTTAAGATGAATGTTATAATTAAAAATTCTATACGCTAGTTAAAGTTAATGTCGCCAAAAAAAATCACATGCATATTTTTGCACACCCTTGTTAAAGCAAGATTTGATGATTACAAAGAACGCATTTTATGTCGGAAACAATAATTATCTAGCCAATATAATTATGATAAACATAAATTTATAAATCGATACTTAAAAAATCCCATATCAATGATGCATTTTGGTCCTTGAATCCGAGTCTAGAAGAAAAGAAATTAGCTTTATTAATATAAAGAACAAGCAAATATTCTCATGATACGCCCCATAGCACTTCTCTGATAAACACTAATATACTAGTCATCTCATAGCAGTCCAGAAAAAGTAAGCCAACCTGCAAATACGTAAAGTGTATTTCCATTACGTAAGCAAGGATAGACAACGGTCTGATTCATTCGCGATCATTTCGACTACCAAGGACAGATTATTGCAAGATGAGTCGAATCTATCACTGCTCGACACTGAGGACATGGAAGAATTGTATTCCACTTAGGTTTACTATCCGGGGATACAAAGTAGCACGGAGTTTTCGGGTAATTTTCTTTCCCTCCAGGGTATCGACTCTGAATGATGGCCCCAGGATTGTAAGCAATCCTTCAATATTTTCTTGGTATGGACATTTGAAATATTGTTTTCATCATCTTTACTCTCGTTTTCGTTCCTTCGTATTCCCGTGTTCTCTATTTTTTTCTTGGCCCGCCACGAATTGATATCCCGAAAAAGTAATTCTTGATGTTCCCTCTCCGGGTTGGAAATCGTGAGATTTACCGCGGCTGGACGAGCTATCGGCTCCCCCTCCATTTCCAGAATCTTGTCCACAAGGAACGACAGCATTATCACCAGATATGCAACTTTGTTTTCGAATTTTCTTTCTTGGAGTCTTTACCTTGTAATTGCATTTCACTTTTGGAGGTCAACTTAAATTGTACTTACAATGCTTGGCTACTGCTTCCCACACTGTGATGATAAGAATCGGACGAATAAATGGTGGAGTCACCAATTTGCCCGTGGGGCAATAAGACATTACAATTCTCTCCAACCTGTAAAAAAATATGTTTTGTTAAATCACGAATGATACCCTCTAGCCCTCAGAATTCAAGGGTTCTTTTTTTTATTTTCCAAGATAAATTTCACTGCATTTTTTCCATATAAAAAAAATCACCTGAAGGAATCACGAATTTCGTTAATAAATCTCATTCATACGTACTTTGGAAATAAAGAAATTGAGTAAACAAAATAATTGATTTTATTGATTGGATCGTGTTGATAAAAAGTTTTTTTATTTACATACTTTTTTTTTTTAAAAAAAAAAAGAAATAACTTTATTATAAATAATTGACAGAATATTACACGTTAAATTATTTGCGCTGTTTCAATCATATGATTTTAATAGCAGTTTCAATGTAAATTAATTTATAGTAGTTAGGAATGTTTTTTCTTTGCTATTAAAGATACATTTTCTCTACATTTATAATAAATTCTGGCTGCAAAAAACATTTGTTGGATCTAAAATCCTGAATACAAAAATAAATCTTAGGCATATACTTTTTTTTTTAAAAAAAAAAGATTTCAAATGGTAATCAACTTACTTTTTTACATTTTTCATTATTTCACGTGCAGGCTAAACAAAAAATAAAAATCAATTAACAAAGCTATTTAAATAAAATAAAATAAATAATAAATATCACTATATGTAAAAGATACCTCAGATAAAGATTCGATAAAACATTCTTTTTTACGTTTCCCTATGCCGGTAGTATGATGTGATATCGAACCATTTGACCTTGATATTTCGACTAACGCATCTTGCTCTACGCGTCTTAAAGTTCCAAGTGGATCAGCAAGATTACGACAATTAAATCCATAAGTGAAAGTTAAACTTGCACCTGTTTCGTATCTAATAACGAGGTTTCATTAAAATTTCAATAAATCGTTCGAGGTTAAAAGAAAGACTTACATATGGTCCACTCTAACCGCAACAAATGGTCTTGGACGAACACTTTGAGCTCTACAAGTTGTCACTATTGTTTCTCTTACTTTAACAACAAGATCCTCAATGTTTGACCAAGATGTTGAGGTATCAAGGTAATCTGATATAGCGTAATAGTCTAAAAGAAAATCACGAAGATAAGGTAATCCCTAGGTAACGATTTTTTTTTTTATACATATAGGAACAAATTTTTAAATCTTCACGTCGTGCATAATTTCATTTAATACCTTCACCTTACCTTTGACATGAAAAACATTCTCTCGCCTAAATCATAACCAGCATCAACCCCACCAAATTTTTTACCAGTCTTTAAAATTCTCTTTTCATCATTTACCATTTTACTCGTATCATAGCCATCAATTAAAATAGCAGCCAAACACATTTTACCAAATTTTAAATTTTTAAACTTTTTCCAATAATATTTTCTTATCACTTCGCTAAATACCGTAGTGATAGTAGGTGTAATAGTGTTGAAAGCTTGTACTAATTGTAATCCGGTTTCATCAACTAACCTGGCATCACTTAAATTATTAATAACTTTTCTTTGAACGATTTCCCTCAAGAATAAAAGACCTTTATGAAATGTTGGAAAATATATTGAAACGTAATGACGAAACGGAGTTAAATAATGTAGCTTGAATGTTAATTCGGTTATAACGCCCAATGTTCCTTCCGATCCAAATAATAAGTTCTTTATGTCAGGACCCGAAAAAAATGGTGGCGAAGTATTAGAACCGCTTTTTTGTATTGTGCCAGTTGGTGTAACAATTTTCATATTAATTATGCTATTTTCAAAATCTCCACTAGACCTTAAAGCAGCTAATCCACCAACTGTGCTAAATTCAAATGAATCAGCATCCCATCCGAGACTTAAACCCAATTTTCTTAATTCCATTTCTAAATCTTTTGCGATAGCACCAGCTTCAACGACTACAATCATATTTTCATTGTTTAAGGAGAGAATTCTGTTCATTTGTCTCATATCTAAAGAAACAATCATTCGTTTTTCTTCTTCTATTGGACAATCTAACGCGTTAACATAATTTGATCCTCCTCCATAAGGTATACAACCAACATTAAACTTTTGTGCTGCACGCACAATGATTTCAACATGTTCATGACTTTCAGGCCAAATAACTGCATCAGGCAATCTATTAAAATTACCATATCTTAAATTATAAATGTCCATAGTGCTATTCCCATGTCCACGAGATAATCTATCTTGTTCCGAGAATGAAATGATTACTCCTTTTGGTCTAATTTCATCGTAAAAACCATGATTTACTTCGGGGCTATGTATCTCGGACATTGATTTTTGCGCTGGGCATACGGTTTTTAAGTTTATTCTTAATGTTTGTTCTAACCATGGTCTTAATTCATGATATTCCTTTGAACTAAAATGTCCAAATCTATTTCCCAGCAATGAGGCGGTCCCCCTATCATCAAATTTAAAAAATGTATCTTTATATCCATGTCCATTCCATTTGATTTCTCTATTTGTACGTACTGCTAAGGTTTGACTAGGTGATAAAGTTCTCCATTCTTTATGTTCTATTAAATGACCGAATATATTTTCTAAACGACGAGAAGCATTTGGGTAAGGATTTTCTTCGGACATTTTTGAGTATTTAAAAATTTCGAAAATTTTTTTTTATTATTGATCAAGTTTAACTTTATCAAGTTACACTAGATTTTGACAGGTTTCACAATGTTCAATTTTACAATTGACACGCGTTAAATTTATACAATTATATAAGTTTATTTCTTATTCCTCTTAGATTTATGATTATCATTATCATCATTTTTATCATCTTCCTTTTTTTCTTTTTTCTTTTTCCGTTGTTCCTTTTTAGCTAGAATATCACGTTTTCTCTTCTTTTTTGATTCCTTCCTTTTTTTTTCCTCATCTTGTTGATTCTCATTACGTAATGTATCATCACAATTATCCGATGTAACTGCAAAACATAATGATCTTTTTTCTTTCTTCACTGAATCCAAGTCTGTTGTTGGATCATGATTTACCTCCGGTTTATTCCAACTAAATATCGAATTCGATTTTTTTTTTTTTAAAAAAAAAAAAGAACTAAAGATGATTGAAAGAATAAGTTTATTAGGTTACCTATTGAAATCCGATAGTCCATTTGAACTTTTAACAAAATTTCCATGATAGAATAATGATTTTGATTTGAAATTGAAAGATGAAGAGCTTCCATCATCGTTAAATCTACTCTTATGAGGTAATTCAGATGAGGATGTGTCAAAATTTGAATTGGAAGAATCAGAAAGAGAATAAAGTGATTCGCTTGTACTTATAATTCCCATTTGATTTCTAGGAATTGTTGATTCTTTGACAATTTTAGAAACTTGTACTTCCTAAAATCATTAAATAAAATTAAAATGGAATTATTCAAATAATAATTACCGATCCTGAAATTAAGGTTATCAGAAACTTACCCCATCAGAAGTTTTTGATACTTTTATGTTATCTAGAGTTTTCGTGTATACTTTATTCCACCATTCAAATGACCAATCTTCCGAATTATTTCCAAGCTTTTGAGATTTTTAAAAATGAAGAATGGCGCAATGAGATGGTTAATTTTTCGCGAAAAAAAGTACTCGAATAGGATACGCGTTTCCCCAGACAACGATAAAAATTAGGAACGCACCCCACGCGTATCATCCTTTTTAGTTATAAAAATTGGAGTTTTTCTTCCATTAGAATCCTTTCCTAGTCCCTGACCTTTAATCCATCCATACTTTTCTAATTGCTTTTCTGCAAAACTATTATTCATTTTTCTTTTTTTTTTTTCTTTTATAAAAAAAAAAAAAAAAGAAAAAAAAAAATATTTGATCCGAAATTCGAAATTCGCTGATCACCGACGCCAAATAAGTTTATGTAGTATAACGTGTGATTTTGACCCGACTGATCTGATAATCTGATATTAAAGATAAACGAGATTAAATAAATACAATGTTTATTAAACGCCCAACCAGACCTTTACTTGCAATAATCTTTAATAATTTTGAATTCCTTTTTATCTTTAACGTTTAAAAAAAAAGTTATTATAATGGCATATGCTGGATATGGCAGGATACTTTCATATTTATATGGATATTTTACTACAGTAGTTATCATTTTTATCATAGTAATGATAAAAATAGGACATATTGAATTAAAAACCATCTTCGAAGATATTCTTAATAAAATTAGTCCTTATGCCTGGGCACTAGTTGGAATAGGACTTTGTATTGGCCTTAGTGTTGTTGGTGCTGCATGGTAAATATCTCAAAATATACAAAAAAAAATTTTTTTTCCTCTTTCCTCTTTTTTTTTTTTCTGCGATGAATTTTTTAGTGATTTTTTTGCTAGATTATCTAAATTTGATTATATATCATTATTAGGGGGATCTTCATTACTGGCTCAAGTATACTTGGAGGAGCTGTGAAAGCTCCAAGGATTAAGACAAAGAATCTCATTAGGTACGTCAATGATGAAACTATTCCTCCTTATTATATGGTAACCTATTTTAATTAATTTTTCTTACCTCTTTTGTGTTTCGTTTCGTTTACCTACCCTTTATTTCCTTTTCTTTCCATAATCAGCATCATTTTTTGTGAAGTAGTAGCAATTTATGGTGTAATTATGGCAATCGTATTCTCTGCAAAATTACAAAGTATACCATCACCAGATTTAAAGACACAATCAAATTATTTTACAGGGTTTGCAATATTTTGGGGTGGTTTAACTGTTGGATTTTGTAATCTATTTTGTGGTATGGCTGTCGGAGTTACTGGTAGCACTGCTGCTCTTGCTGATGCTCAGGATCCTCAATTATTTGTAAAGATACTTGTCGTCGAAATTTTTGGTAGCATTCTTGGTTTATTTGGTTTAATCGTTGGTTTATTAATAGTGAGTATATTGAAAAACTTTACTTTTTTAAAAAAAGGAGGAGAGAGAGTTGTGGGATTTTGTTAATTTTTTTTTTTTTTATTATTACAGACAGGAAAAGCTGGAGAATTTAATTCTTAAATTTACCAAGAAGGGTAAATATTACTTTATACATAAATTTATTTAACAAATCTTTATAATTGTAACTAATATCAACTCTCTTCATTCAAAAGATTCATATATTTTTTCTTTGCATATATATTATTGGAATGGGTACAATATATGGTCTTATTAATTCACATAAAGACATTAAGTTTTGTAACCGATCTGCAGTTTTTTAATAGATTTTTTTTTTTTTAAAAAAAAAAAAAGAGGGAAAGAGAAGAAGATATCTATCTATTGATTATTGTTCCGGTTATAAAAAGGGTTAACTTTAAAATTGTTTTTTATATTGTATTTTTAATTATATATTAAATAATAAATAGTAAATGTATCAACGAACTTTTGACCGGTGGCGGATCTAATCACCGGTGTAGGTTAGGGTAAGTTAAGGCATATATTATTGGTATATATCAACGATCAATTAATTACCTTGGCATGTTTTATAATTTCCAACTTATTAATTATTCTAATAAAAAAATTTTTAAAACAAAAGAAAAATTTGATTCTAATAAAAAGTTTCAACGAAGCCATACCTTATGCATTTCGCTTTACTTACCCCAAATTAACCATCAAAGCCCAACAATTTCAACCATTAAACAAACATGATCAGAATTAAATTTATAATTTGGTAAAGAAGTTGATTCAAATTCTTCTTTTCTCGGTAATTTTAATAATTTAAATACTTTAAATTTATTCTCGTCGTCTTTACGATTTTCCTCATTTATATTTTCTTTTTCATGATCGAGGATATAAAATATATAGTCTAGAGTTCCTTTAAAATGTAATCCGTAATGGGTGATCTTTGGTTCCGAATATTCAATAATATTTTCGGAATCAATTAAATGATAATTCTGTCCATAAAGGGACAAACATTTTGGTAAATTCTCAAAATTTGAAAGTAATGAATCTAATTGAGAAGGTTCTAACGTAAAAGTAAGAGATGATGATTGTGATGATTGATTAGGTCGAGTGTCCGTAAGAGATTGTGAAGAAGTAGTTGATTGTTCAATTATAATTTCATTAGTTGAAGATGTAGATTGTTTCTCTTTCTCTTCCTTCTTTCCGAAATTATCACCGCTACCAGTACTACCTTCTATTTCATCTCCAAAAGATCTCATAGAATCTTTTAACACGGACAATTTTTTTTCGGTTAATGAATTTTTTACCATTAACTGATAAATTGGATCTTCCGGAGTTGAATTAAAATCTAATTGAAAATCCAGAAATTTTTTTTTTTTTTTTTTTTTTTTAGCAAAGTTGCTTTACCGGAGAAGTATAAAAAGAATTCCAACTTACCACCAGCTAAAAACGCAGGAAAATTAAATCCTTCGTTAAGTTTTAAAAGATTTTGATAAAGTATCAGACATTGTCTAGCACGTTCATACATGCTTTCGGGCCTCCAATAAAGATGTGTGGTACCAATTGATATCCCTTTATTCTCTACCCCAACGCATCCCAATACGACGACAATTCCGATACAGTTTGTCGTCATAGTAGGTGATCCAAATTTATCAAAATCCAATGTTAACTCTTTTAATTTAGTAAATTTTGATTTCTTCCAAATTATGCAGCAACCTATTGATTTTTTAATCAATTTTTCGAATCATTTAAATCGTAATTATCATGTAGGATTATAATAAAGGATTCAAACGTACCGTGCCGTTTAGTATCATTCTTAAAAAAGAGTGAATCATAATCAAACTTCTCAAATTCAGGTTTAAACGTTTCAATAAAATTTGTATCGTCCATCTCTTGAAAACATCCTAAATCAGGTAAATAATGAAATATTTCTTTTAATAATCTTGGTCGGCGATTTTTCCATTTTAATGCATCACCACAATTTGGAAATAATTCTCGTTTACAAAGTGATTGTGCAAGTAACTTAATAAAGAACACCATTTTTCATTTCAGTTTCAAAAAAAAAAATTAAATTAAATTAACAGATCATGATTTAAAAGAACAAAAAAAAAAAAAAAAAAAGAAAAAAGGGAGCAAAGATTACGTTGTAAGTCATAATTGTTATTCCATTCGTTTCTTCTTCTGTATTAGGCAAAGCAATCATATCTCTTAATATAGGTTCATACTGAATTTCTGGTGGTTTGGGTGGTTTCTGTTGTTGTTTCTGCTTCCGTTGCTTTTGAATTATTTTCCCTTCGTTAATATTTTGTTTCTTCAATTCTTTTCTTTTGCTAACTCGAGTTCTTTTTTTAGGTAATGGTATTTCTGAGGGAAACACTCTATTCTGTTGTCCTTCCTCATTGATGTGTTCTTTATTAGTCTCAATATGTAAAATTGAATTTGTCGAATCATTAACTTCTGCATTAGCTGTTGAATTTATCTGTTCCATTTTTAATCCTTGATTTAATAAATTTCGAGGTTCTATATATATCCTTTTCCAAACGCAGTGATAAAATCGAATGAACTTAAATTTCTTAGATGTCACAATTACCAAAAAAATTAAAAAGTTTTTGAACATGAATTTTTTACGAATAAATAACTTCTTTTATTCTTATTATAATAGGAAGAAATACAATTCTAAATAAAGTCTACGAATAAATGTCTATAATACATTACAATATCATAATATTGTAATTCTTAATTTTTCTTTCTAAACATTAAATAAAAAAAAATTTGATAATTGATAAAATAAAAATATATATATAATAACATATATTTTGTTTTTTGTTTTTAATAGTATCTACGAAAAAATATAATGAAAAAAACTAAATTTCACTATAAGATTATTTTTTTGAAGGGAAAAAAAAAAAAAATGTCCATGAGTAATATAAAACCAACAAAAAAAAAAAAGATTAATATCCAGATAAAATAAATCCTATTATAATAATTCTAATACACATTATATGATGAAGAACATTAAATTTTCCGCTAAATAAGCTAATCAAACAAAGGAATGAAGGTATATATGAATGTGATAAAATGTTATTATGTTACATACGAATAAACTGTATATGATTGAAATTAAATGGTTAAAAAAATAAAAGTCTAATAGTATTTTATATATATATATATATATATATATATGGATGAGATTAGCGGAAGACGTGAAAAAAAATTAAAAAATGATAAAATCTGGAGGGGTTTTTTTTTTTTTTTGTTATTTTTTAGTCGAATTATTATCCTGATTGATTTATTCGGCTTCCTCTTCCCCGGCATATTCTTCACCTTCACCACCTTCTTCATAATCATCACCACCTTCTTCTTCAACTAATAAAGAAAAATAAAATAAGTAAATCTGTTTTAGAAAAGAATTTTAACAAATAAAGAGAGAGAGATAAATACCGGCGGCATCTTGATATTGCTGATATTCGGAAACCAAATCGTTCATGTTAGATTCAGCTTCGGTAAATTCCATCTCGTCCATACCTTCACCAGTATACCAATGCAAGAAAGCTTTTCGCCTAAACATAGCAGTGAACTGCGTATTAATGCGTTTAAATAATTCTTGGATTGCGGTACTATTACCGACGAAAGTACCAGACATGGTGAGACCAATTGGTGGAATATCACAAACGGAAATCTTAACATTTGATGGAATCCATTCTACAAAGTATGAACTATTTTTCATTTGAACCGAATGCATTTGCTGTTCAACTTCTTTAGTTGAAAGTCTACCGCGGAAAATAGTCGCGACAGTTAAATATCGTCCATGTCGAGGATCTGATGCAGCCATCATATTCCGTGCGTCGAACATTTGTGCAGTTAACTCTGGTACTGTGAGAGCACGAAAACCTTGTGAACTACGAGAAGTTAATGGTGCGAAACCGACCATAAAGAAATGTAAACGAGGGAATGGAACTAATAGACAAAATAGGGAATATAATTGTTAAAGTGATAAAGTAAACAAAACGTGTTCAAAATAAATTCTTTTTTTAAAATAATATATACCCATATTGACAGCAAGTTTTCTTAAGTCACTATTTAATTGACCGGGGAAACGTAAACATGTTGTGATACCGCTCATGACGGCTGACACAAGATGGTTAAGATCACCATAACTTGGATTAGTCAATTTAAGTGTACGGAAACAAATATCATATAAAGCTTCATTATCAATACAGAAAGTTTCATCACTGTTTTCTACTAATTGATGAACTGAAAGCGTAGCGTTATATGGCTCTACAACAGTGTCAGATACTTTGGGTGATGGAACCACAGAGAATGTACATAACATTCTATCGGGATATTCTTCACGAATCTTGGATAATAATAAAGAACCAAGACCGGATCCAGTACCGCCACCAAGGGAGTGAGTGACTTGAAAACCTTGAAGACAATCAGTAGATTCTGATTCTTTACGGAGAACTTCCAAGATGGAATCAACCAATTCAGCGCCTTCAGTGTAATATCCCTTTGCCCAATTGTTACCGGCTCCAGATTGTCCAAACACGAAATTATCAGGACGGAAAAGTTGACCGTATGGACTAGATCTGATAGAATCCATAGTTACAGGCTCAAGATCTATTAGTACAGCCCTATTGATAATGAGAATCATCAAACAAATTAGAAAGCTTTTTGCGAACCAACAATGGATATAAAAAGAAAGCAATAATTTTACAAAATATTTTGTACTAACCTTGGAACATATTTACCGCCCATAGCTTCATTGTAATATACATTAATACGTTCCAATTGTAAATCACTATCGCCGTGATAAGCACCGGTAGGGTCGAGGCCATGTTCAGCAGAGATTGCTTCCCAAAATTTTTGACCGATCTAAGTAAACAAACCGAAATAAATTTAATTTTTTTTAGTTGTTTTGTCTTTTTGTCGCATTTTTTAAATAATCTCAGTAAGAAAGGTTACAAAACTTACTTGGTTACCACATTGTCCTATGAAGAAATGAGTGAAAAAAAAAATGAAATATAAATAGGAGAGTTATAGATAAAGATTTTTTTTTTTATTCTTTGATAAGTATAACGAACGAACCTGTTTGTAAATGAATAATTTCTCTCATTTTGTATTAAGTGTGATAAAGTTTTTTAAAAAAAGTTATTTAGTTTCGAGTATAGTTTTTTTTTCAAAAACAGAAAGTGAAAAATCAAGAGGAGAGAGCAACGAAGTTTGCTTACTTTTAAGAAAAAAAAAAAGAAAAAAAAATCTACGCCTAAAAAAATATCAATAATTTAAACCAATCAAAATGATTTAAAACACATCACTTGCATCCAATCAAGTCAATCAATTTGAACCTTTACTTTATTGGGCTTACTTTTGTGTTATTTAATAAACATACTTAAGAGTGGGCGATTCTTGTGAGAACAACATGAAAATGATTTTCAATCAGATACATATTTTTTTTTAGTTCGGTCAAATTAACTGAACCAGTATTTGTAAATATATCTATTTTGTGCCTCACTCAGTGTAAAGCACATATCTTTAATTGGAAATATATATATTTTTTTAATATAACGCAACATAAAAGAATTTTTTTTTTTGTAAGACCTGCCTAAATAAAAAAAAACCTGATCCCACGATGATAATCATATATGTAAAGAGTGGATCATTGTTCAATGATCAAACAGAACAAATGGGATGGATTTTATTTGCTTTTGCTGTACGCCAATGATTCGAACAACATTTAAAGAAAAACAAGGGTTTATTCTTAACATAATTTGTACATTAAAAAAAAAAAAAGAATTCATCATCTAAGCAAAGAGGTTAGTGTATCAATACTGGGAAAACTGTTTTTGTTTGTTCCTGTAAATTGTATATCGAAGAAGTGTGATTCGATCATGGAACTGTAGCAAAATATTGAGTAGGAACAAATAGTTTATTATTTTCGGCCAAAATTTTCAATATATTATTTTCTTTTAACACCAAAAACAATCGGGGTTTCGTTTACATTTTATGATCGACTCAATATGCCAGAATTCTTTTTGTGTTACCAGTTGTCATTTGATATGATTTCTGCGGTTCGACACAGTTAGTTTTTTTAAATCAAAGTTTCTTTCTAAAAAAAGGATACAAGGATTTTTTAAGGTTCAAAAAGGTAAAAAATAGCTTGCATTTAAATGTGTATACATTTCATTTACACCTTTTAAAAAATCCACTTACAGACATAATATTAAGAAAAAGAAAAATCTTGATCATCTATTTTTTGCCGCCAAATTTTCATTTGCATATTGACGAGATAAGTCGTGTTTGATTTTATTTTGGTTTTTTTTGAGAAATCTTATTTTACAAATTTAGATTGAAAGTAATATTTAATGCGAAATGACATAATAGACATGACTTCATATAAAAAGTTCGCAGAAGTATGGCTTTTCTCATGCTAGTAATTACTTGAAAAAGATTTTGTCATCCAGTTCCACGACTCTAATAATAATCCTAATTTGTCACAATCAAATGCTTAAAGGTAGAATCAATAATATTAAAATTTCTTAGCTTACATGAACTTCTGGTCATGTGAAATATTATCATATGTATTTGGAATAATTGACGTTCGTCGGGATGTATAAAAAACTCTATGACCTCTTCCGATCTTTCGATCTATATTCTAAACATCATATTTGGTTCTAAGTAAACTTGTTTCGCTGTCTTAGAATATATAGTCGTAACGTTTTATATAATTTAATTAAATATCTATTGAATGATGAAAGTTTTATTAAGATGAATTAGATATTAATATTTGATCAAATAGTGAAACAAATAATATCATATTAACTTGATTTTTTGAAAAAAAAATTTCATGATTACGATATTTCAATAAAGTATTTAAATTTTCATGTTGGGAAAAGTGTCTGAAGGTATTTTATTAATAAATTTTAAAAGAAAAATGTTAAATTTAACAATGAATTTATTATAAATTAGATATTCAATTAATATATTATTAGCATACATTGATGAGTATATAAATTATTAATAATTGGAACTATTTAGAAAATAATTAAGTTTTAAAGATAAAATAGATTTCAAAGAATTTAATGATAAAACATATAAGAATAATTACGTAGAATTAGATTGTAAAATTCTTTTAAATTTCTTGAGTTTTTTACTTTTAATAGTAGACAAAATTCAGCTTATTTATAATAATTTTTCTATAAAAATAAAAATAATTAAGATAAAAATATTAAAAATTTAAAAATAAAATAAATAATAAAAATAATAAAGAAATAAATTACAAAATTACAAAATTAATATTTATTTTTAGTCCTTTTACTTTTGAAAATAAATATAAATTTTTTTTAAGATGAGATCTATTTTCAAGAATTTTACAAACTATAATTAAAAATTATAAAATTAATTTTTAATATTTTAATTTCTTTTATTACTAAAAATTAAATTTTTTAACTGTAATAATATTTATTGCTTTAAATATAATTACTATAA